CTGAGGAATCCACCGCCATCCTTGAAAAGAGCAGGTGGAAGGTCGTCAGGACCAGCAGCGCGATGACGCTTGAGTAGAGAAATGCATTCGGACACTTCTGAGACTGAAGGCGGCTCCATATTTACGGTCCACTTTTCTGTTGAAGGCCAGGTTTCTGGATTGGGGTAGCAGGTGGCCAGCTGAATTGCTGTAGCGGGCGGTCCAAACGTTCTGCTTTGCTGAGCTGTTCTGCTGAGCCATTTTGGTCCCTGATTGTTTCACTGACAAGAGGTTTCCACCAGTCGAACCCAGCGGTCCAAACGTTCTGCTTTGCTGAGCTGTTCTGCTGAGCCATTTTGGTCCCTGATTGTTTCACTGACAAGAGGTTTCCGAAGACCAGTCGAACGAATCAAGTGGAACAATTTGCGCACGTTTCCAGCATACTTTGCATCTTCCATTTCTTCGACCTTTCGGGTCCACCAAGCTTCTCGGTCTGCGCGGACACTCAGTTTCACCATGTTTCAACCATGACCTACAATATACATGCCCAGGTAAAGGAATTTGTCTACTACCCCAATCGACCCATCCACAAGCATTAGTCCACAGTTCTAGTCTTTCAAGAGCATTCTACACTTTGTAATTGTGAAGCGCACGCTAAAGCGTGAGGTGCATTACGATTAAGTCAGATCCCAGGAGAGCTATGTCGTCTGCGTACTTGATGCCTGTGAGCTAATAACCCTCCGGGAATTTCAACCACAGAATTGTTAGAGGCTGAGATTAAGTCTTACATGATCGTGCCGACGACGAGGTTGAAAAGGAAGAGTGAAAGAAAACAGCCTTGTCGGATACCACTCAATGAACCTAAACGAAAGCTCTCCATAGACCTTCACGCGACCGCGGGAGTGCAAGTACAACGCCTTAGGGAGGGTCAGAATTATTGGGGGAGGGAATATTTCCTTCGTAGACATTGCTATAGTGAGCGACGGTCCACAGGGTCAAAGACAGCTTTCGAATCAAAGACCACCACTAATGAGGGATTTGCGGAAAGTTTGGGTGCTGTTAAGCTGTACGCCTTAAATGATGAGGCCCATGTGATCCTCCCTGTGCTTGACTGGGGACAGCGAACGATAGGCTGGCTAACCGATGTACATGGTGTTCATGTTGTCAGTTTCTATCCAAATTGCCTGACTGAGTGTTGGAGATGTAGGTACCTCGGATGTTTGTGTAGGCTGGCCCTAGTTCCCTCTCCCTGCCATTGTTTTATTCTTCCCATTACGAGTCTTTATTCAAATAAACCGACATGGCTGTACGTCAACAAAGCATCCTGAGTTGCTGTTAACGATGCTGAAAGCAGCTTCTTTGTTCTAGAACCTGTTGGAGGATGAAAATGCGATCTATCCATCCCCTTGCAAAACGGGATTCAGCTTCGTTTTCACAGATGTCTCTCTGTGTTCACTCAACAATCGAAGGATAAGACCAGACAGCACCTTCGATTCCAGTTACCAGGCTGATATCACGACGGCAACTTTTAATTCCGCGTTTGCTGATTACCACGTTAGAAATTCCTGGAGGTCATCAGACACCGTCAATGTCTAAAAACTTGAAGGCGTTTCAGATTACCTCTCCGTAGGGAACACTTCTCACAACTCCAACTGCAGCCTGGTATACACAACCCTTGGGATTCAGCGACATACTTCCTTGCCATCACAAGTGACACAAATGAGAAAGTCACTAGTGACCTCGCGATTCATGCAGTGACTTCGTGAGACATTTCCTGCAACTTGTAGTGCATTTCTCCGAATTGCAATGGACACGTTTAGAGACTACATGTCCTGAAAGAGGGTCCTGTAGGCACAAAGGACACTACAAGCACAAGAAAAGCTACATATAGCGTTCCCATCATTATCGGCGAACAATGTAGATGTGATGCAGCGTACACCGTAGTGTTGGCCCCGTTTCGTTGGCCGATGATCTGAGGAAACGAAGGTGGATAGCAACGCACTGACAATCGGTTTGTGAACGTTTAACGACTGTCACAATCTTCTGTACTATTCTAAAAGTTTGCTTTTCCAGGTTTTATCTTCCATTTTCGCCTACCCGGACGCCCATCACGACGCCACCAAAGGATTCATGCTCTAATTGCATGAATAATGATTGGTTGGCCCCGTCACTCACCAATTTTCACCGTTTCGTGTCTCCGAAGTGATGACGTAGTCTCGTGATAGAGTTCACTGGAAACTGACTCGGTAGACTTGCCACTTCCGAAAATTAGGTCTGAGCACGTCCAGTAGACAAAGTCCCTTAGCTCAGTTCCGTCGACTTCCTAACACGTAGACTGGTCATTGTCGAGGCGAAAAAGAAATGGTCACGCCTACCACAACTGCATGGTCACGACTGGTGGGACATCAGGTCTTGTCATCTGATCAAGTTTTTACGGTTAAGCAGATATGCAGCCCATAGCGCAACTGCATGGCTACTGCACTGAACGTTGAATGCAATATCAACCGGTCATTCCGAACACCCGAACAAGGGAACTGTCCATTGATCGCAAAGCGGCACTGGCCCTTTATCCCCTGACCGCTACTTTTCTGTAGCTTCAGTTTTTTTTGCACGCTGCGTCCTCTGAGTCTTCTTCTTGTTACATCACCATTCCCTGGACATTCGCTCACCAATTTTGGAGGACGCTATTTCTTCGCGTGTCGCTTGATTTCACTCTTATTTAAGTAGCCACGCTGCTTCAGGTTCCTCTCGTCTACAGTGACTTTACTCGCTGACGCTTCTCTCAAGCTAATTTACACCTACTGGCGCTTTCAGCAACGTCCGTTAATACGTGCGAACTACTAACCTATATGATCTCGAGATAGCACAGGTCAAGGCACCAGCTTACGGACCGGAAGGTCCGTGGTTCGAACGCAACCTCAACACCTCGACTGCTCCAGTCTAGGTTTGGACAATCCGACAGTGCCCCAGACCCCGTGCGTCAGTCCTTTGGAGTGAAAGCTAGGCACTGAAAGGTTGCTATAGGTGAATGACTTTTCTATTTTCATCCTAGGAGTATCCTGGACATCATCCAGGTCTGTGGCCGTAGCCACCAACCCCAACCAGTCGTTCTTTGCTTAGCAACCTTCCCGTACTCCGAGTCTGATTCCATCCTGATTGTCTCCACGATTACCTGACCCTCTTTTGAGTGACAACATGGTTCAATCATGAAGTGACTGACATCAGTATATTAACCGCACAACTGTGCGGTTTCTATTGTGAAGCCTGAGCTTGCCTAAGCTTAGTCGATAATCAACTTAACGGACGAATTCTCTTATCCGAATGCGGCGATCATTTGTGCATCACAGTGCAAAAGCTTGGCAAGCCGCCTGACCCGGCCGGTTGACCTGTGAAAATATCCAGCACAAATCAAAGCGTCACGATCTGCAAAACTACATCCGCGCTGGCCGAGCAATTGACTTTTCAGCAGAAATGGGTTTGTGCTGAGGCTATTACCACAACCATGTACACAACCTCTCACATACAAATTGGACATGCACGATAAAGGCCTCATTTTCGACTGTAAGGGTATACATCGTCGCTGAATGGCGCTTTAGGTATCACTGACTTGTGTCAACAACACTCATCACATGCATGTAGTGACAGTGTGAGTCGCCGGGGATTATACCCAATAAAACGCTAAAACCTGGGCAAAGACGGCGAGCGACTGGAACAAACACTTAAAAATGCTGTTCCAGTGCATATAGACCGAATTGAGATTCTGTTTATTATTAAAATCCTACGGAGCCCTTCATGAACTCCTCGTAGATCACAGAAATAAAGATTCGAAAAGTTGTGGTAATAGTGATATTCAGTGCGTTCACTTAGAAATGTCCCATCCTAAACTGAACACTTTACTCACCTCGGTCGAATTGTATGTTTCAATCAGAGCACTTGCATAGTTCTCTTCTCGAGCAGGCGGTAAGGTCAATGTTGCTGGTATGAATGGCTTCGGCTGTTGCTTCACATCACTTTTGTGACCCTGGAACCCAATACCACCGGGTAAGGGGTAATTCGGGTTCACAGAATCTATGGGTCCAAGTGTCGGATCAGGCCATTGTAGCTTCGATGACCGGGAACCGACAATTACTATTAAGGGCATAAGGCATAGAGTTGGATAACGTCACGACATACCAAATCTTATCGGTTTTGTCCTTTGGAAAGCGGAGTATGCACTGACAGATAGTTGGAACCGGTTAACTAGACGCTCAAAATTCTTAAAAATAACTCGGTTGGCCGACAACGACCTCATTGCAGAAAAGTAGGCCGACAGATGACCTTGAACGCCCCAAGGTCAGCAGATCCCGAATTGGGTAGTTCGGTGGCAAACCGACCACTGCTAGTAGTAGTACTGCATTCTCTTATGGCTCAATGGTTGACCACTGTTGCCTTCGTGGCTCAGTGGTTTGACGATTTTTGTCATACTGTACCAAAGAATCTAACTAACGTAGCGTGTGAGAGGACTTTACAAATAACTTGAGCAATTGCAAATAAGCCGCACATCCACGGATTCACCTATTGACACACAGGATCGAGGATTTCGCCCAAGTTTGCCAGGTCGGTCTTGTTCTTTTCGTTCAGTGGCACAAATTATGTAAGCGTTTAGCATCGTTTTTTCTGTTTTCCGCGCGGAGCAATAAGCTTGCCAGTCCGAAGACCCGCGTTAAAACGTTCGATAGTGCTTCGAAATTGGGTTCCAGATGAAGCCTGCACACGTCGGAGGAAGTTTGCTCCACGCAGCAACCAACCGAAAAATGAAAAGTTGAGCTCAACGAAACTGTTTTCTCCGAGCTTGAAATCCTCCTACCGTGTCACAGCCGTGTACTTGCTGGGTCAACTGTGTGGTACTTTGTGCCTTTATTTTGCTTTAATTATAACGCTACGTATTTCGTCAATTGCATAATCGTTTTCCGTTTGAATACGAAAAAATACAAAAACGCGCACTTGTAAAAAAATTCACGCAAAACAAGATTGGTCACTTGCTTCGACTCTCCCCTGATTTGGCTCGCGTTTGCAGCGGTCATTCGCGAGTCTCATGTGCTAACTCTGGTATCAAAACATTTCAGACCATCTTCGGAATCAATTATATGTGGAAACTGTTCAGAAGAAGACTCCTGGACCACCATAATTGGATTATTGTTTATTTGCTGATCTGGGACAACAACGAGCGATTTTAAAAGAACAATTATTAGTGAGTCCGTTCCATTTGACCTCTATTATTGTATACCCAATCTAGCATCATTATTTTTGTTTATTTGCCACACACTCCTGAAAATGTAACTCATTGGGTAGCCATATCACTACAACGGTGAAGAACATGCTGGTCAAACCTTGTTCAAACAGTGCCTAGGTAAGAATCGGGTTGCCCCGAGGGCGACGATGCTCCAGGGAAAGAAGGTCGAGCTTGACGAGACGCCTTTCACACTCCGGTGATTTAGGGTCAGCAACCGTGTTTGTAACAGCTCTCTGGACACTCGCAGTGAAGGTTACGTCCTTCTGGCGTCCTGAGTACACAGCTTGGTTGGGATAATCAACAAGCGGTCTGTCGTAGAAGTAAGATGCTTTTATCTACAAAAACATTGATTCGAATAAAAGGTTTTCGCAAAATTGCTGCGTTGTTTGACATACGCGCATTAACAAATAATTACCACACCTTATGTTCATTTTTGCGCAATTGTCTTAATACATCTCCCAAACGTTTGGCAGGCATTCGACATTGAACTTGCTATGCCACGATGTCAGAAGTAACTTCGCATATGTTTAGTGAGAAATGGGGTGTTGTGTTTCTCAAACTTCACGATGTTCGAGGAGGTGTGTAACGATTGGGCAAAGTATTTGTGCGTTCAAATAGTATTCGGAGCAACAACACTGTTATGTGACAATAATGGGTGGATCACAAATGCAGTAGGCAATCCGCAGGACAAACAACAGAAGACAGACGCCGAACGGCAACTTATATCCGGCCTGTGCGCCTTCTTGATCACGCGTGTCATGGTTGCCGGGCTTCTGGTTACGTATGCTTTCCTGGATAGCAGACAGTTCTCCAATGCGTAAACTGTTCAGCTTCCTCAGGAAAATGACTTGCGAGTAGTATCAAAAAAATGTCATGGATAATTTGGCGGGACAAAAGTGGACACCAAATATAGTGTTCTGCTGCAACGTCATGCCGTTCAACTTCTCGATTCGAAAAGCTATCAGGAAGCGCAAATTAATCATTTAAGGTTAAGGCAATTTTGGCCACAGAACAAGTATGCGGCATACATTTCACCATTTGGCTGGCCTAGACAATGGTGTGCACTAGGCTCCTTGTCTATCGAAACAAAAGCACACAGAATCCGACAATATCTGCAGCTGCTACATCGAAACATCCTGCGATTTGTTTTCCACGCCAAGTGCCCCAAGCGGGAAGCTGAGATGAGCACGTCAAGCACCCACCGAAATCAAAATTTTTTAGGTCAACCGCCAAGCTCTGAACTATGGCTGTCGAATGACCATGTATGCGTCTTCCCCTGAGTAGCCTGGGCCGCGACCTCCGAGGCTACACTATCATAGTGTTGGAAAAAAGAGGTGTTTAACCCATGATAACCAACTTAATGTTCTTGCCACAAACAACTAAGTGTTTCCAGACGGTTGATACCTGTGCTGCAGAGTGCACATGCCCCCGCTGAAATGCAATTTGGCCTTCCTGCATCGATTTGTTCTCTGGATTTATAAACCAGTGGTTTCCAAGCCGTAAGAAACATTCCATATGGGTGTTTTCTTAGTATGCCTACCAATTCATCAAGGATGGCTGTCGGATTTCATCCTACATAAAAAGGTGTACCTCGTACACTTATTGTCAGGCTTCCCATCGACAGCTTCCGACGGCCTGGGTAAACAGCGTAGCCGAGTAGCGGAGAGGCTGCAGAGGCTTCAAGCAAGGAGGGCCACAGCAATCATTGTTACGGGGCGAATCCCGCGGCGCCAAGGCTCGGCGTCGGTAACTGATGACCTGCTGTCGGAAGCTGTAGATGCTGTACCTCATACCAGATGGTGGCCTGGTGACTCAGACGGGCTTTTGTGCGCCTTTTGAACGGCCAACTAGTACCAGTGACCGCTGGTGTGCTACGGTTTTTGTGTCGTATCAGGTCAACTTCTGTGTGGGTAAACCTTCCCCACTGGCTTTACATGCTTGTCGCGACGGTGAGTCCGTAAATATATCATTTATTTTCGGTTCCCAGCCCCCGGCCCGTCCAGGAAATTCAAGGGTGTGCCAGGTAACACCTACGCCAAAAGGTCGTCTCATTATGTTAAAATAAACCAAAGCCCAGATTCCCAGAACAGTGCCTGTGTTGTGCCTCCGTTTTCGTAGATGTGAGCTATCGCCTCAATACTAAGACCAGCGCCGTAAAGTGCCAGATATAGGAATGAGAAGATCATAATTTCGTGTGTCTCGTAAAAGGCCCATCGGTTCCAAGCCGTTTGTTTGTTGTTAATACTTCATGAATTGCGGGTGAGTTCTTCATTTCTTGGACGTTACATTCAGTGGGCACCAGGCCCAAACAAAAGCCAATACGAATGAGCCGCTGAGGAAAGCACTTCCAGAACAAGCCTCTACGGGTTTGTCGCCACTGAAGTGCTGAACATGGTTCATTGCTCCCAGTTTGCCAGCTTCCCGCCCCACAGCGACATTTCGGTAGGACACCTTATATCTCCCTCTCATTCCAGGACGTCAATCGCTAGATGAACACTGCGCTTCAAGAAGGCCATACGTCTCCCGGCGGGACATATATACTAGTAAGGACAACCTATACAACTTATCCCTTCATGTCGTCAAATTTCGTCCTCCAAATTACCTCGTTGAGATGGTTAAAGCGCATCGGCCAGGTGATTAAGCATAGCGAACCCTCTAGCCCGTAATGGTCCCACGCGCTAAATAGAATAGTGCAGCTGTCCGCTATTATCGACGACGTGGTTATTATCACATTTTACAGTTTACCACGGGAAAGTCTGCTGTTAAACAACAAACTTGCATTGTTCAAAATCATCTGCTACCCTTTTGTTATGGAAAATTAACCTGATCTATCCAACAATAATCAATATGTCCTCGGAGACGATTATTCGGAACATCAATCATGGGGTTACCTGAACACATAATTCAGTATTCGACCAATCAAGCAGATATAGACGGCAAGAATAATTTGCAGCATGGGAAGTTCAAAATAGTTTATTTTACATAGACCAAGTAGTAGCAAAAGCTCGATGAATTATCCGAGCTGCGGAACTATCTGCAAATCACCTCCATTATAAGCAATCCACGTTTATCCGCAGTTCGCTAAGTCTTATTATACTAGGCACCATTTTCAAAATCGGTGGGGATTAAGTACACAGGTGATTAGCCCACTCAAACAAATTACCCGTGCAAATAATCTGTAAAAAAGTTTGCCATACATAGACATTTTTCAGTTCGAAGTAGTAACGCTTAAAACACCGCGGCCTTCGAGAATTCAGTTCCACTGTGCAAAAACTGGGCGCCTACAAGGGACGTGACTTAGTCAAGTTTTTTCAGATAACCTGTTCTGCACAACAGCAGTTGTCTTATCATGAAATTCGAAAGGCACTTTTGCATATTTTGAAGCATATTCTAACTATGTATTCATGGATTATGGGGAATGGCGGTTCTTCTGAATCAGCGTGAGTACACGTGAAAATCTTTATCAGGTATTGCGTCAGCTGGCGAGCCCTGTGGCATCTCGGAAAAATTGAGGGACGTTGAGTAGCACTTTCTTCTCAGACGCTCGGAGTGCACGTCCAGCTGCTTTATTGCACAAGTTGTGGCGGATATTTTCTTATATCCGAGTGAGAATGCGAATATAAAAAAAGAAAGTGGGCCGAGAGTGTTCAAGTTAATGTCTGAGGTTTAGACTGGTGGATGAATAGCATCAGTAAAGTGAAAGCTGGAGAACGTCTAGGGAGTAAACTGGATGATTTACTTTCCTACCTACCGGCTCTCTAACTGTGGTTACGCCCCTTTTGAATTCATACTAACTGACAGTCACAGGGTGTTTCGGAGGTAGCGCTACCATCGAAACAAGAAGGACGGAGCGGAGATGGATAGAGCGCATGAACCATGGCTAAACGCTGGCGGAGCATGAATTATCGAGCCAAACGGTGGCGTACCGCAATATTGTGTGTGTGTTGAATGGGTCGTGAGGCGTATAATCCGTTCTCAGGTATAGGGATTCTGACATTTGCTTGTGTTATGTTGGTTAGGGCTGGGCAACACGAGAGTAGTCCAGGGCAAAGACCTAGC